AAAAAAAAAAAAAAAAAGGACGGTAAGCAGACAGTTAGGGCAGAATAACAAACATGATGTTCTATTACACCCGCCCCCCAGTCACCTGAATGGAAGGAAAACACCAAAAAAGGTCAAGTCCCTTATCCATTTTCTAGCCTCCACCGTTGACCCCATTTTACATTTTTCTAGCACTGGCTATTAAATTTAATGACATCACCAAAACTTTCCTGGTCCTAGTGCCAAGTATTCTCTCACAAACCCTTGTCCCTCACTCAAGGACAAAAAGACCAGCTGGTGTAAACTGGAGGAAGGCTACAAGGACTTCCCAGGGCCAGCAAAGCAAAAAAAAAACAAGTGGTCATCACTTAGGACCAGAGACTATTTGGGAGCTGGGATGAAAACTATGGAGGCAACAAGTCCCCCATCTTAGTTTAAGAAGTCAGCTCTTCCTATCAAAAGGGAGTTGCCGTCACTATGACTCCTCTTTAACCCATGACTTTAACTAGTTGGCCAACAACTCAAAGTGACAGAAAAGATAGATATCTTATCTCAGAGTTCCCAAAGAATATCAAAACATCATGCCTACCAAGGGATTTAGAGACCCCAAAGCCTGGCCTATTTGGATCAAAAAAGCAGCAGGTTTTATCATTAAATTATAAATTTTTGCCAGGTTTTCAACAATCCCTTCTTTTCTTAATCTCTACTCTCCTTTCTCCCCAGATCTGATCTTTAGGCCTCCTTCCCTTAGAAGCTACCTACAATGGTCCTCTACATCTCTCAGTGAATTATAATTTCCTAACTGTACCATGAGACTTATAAGATCTTATTGGGATTTTAGAGCCTATAATAACCCCAAAGCTCTCTACATGCTTAACTTCTTTTCTTGTTCTCCTTCCTTCTCTCTGGTATTTAAATCTCTCACTAACATCTATTCAATTCCCTGAAAGTCTTTCCAGTAGTCAGTTGTAGGACGAACTGTGTCCTTCCTGGGAAAAGTCAGACTGCAGGTTGGGAGGGAGTACATGTGAATGCCTAAAATCCAAGCAAGGGGGAGGAAACTGGCTCCTCCTCAGAAACCATTTTCTTGGTTACTCTAGATTTCAAAGAGAGTCAAAGATAAATTGAATATTTTAATTTAGTTTCAGAAAAAGATGGTACATGAACTTGGATTAGAAAACATGAAATTAAGAGATTACTCAAAAAATGCAGCAAAAAGAAATAAACCTTCATATGTTAAATAATAATTTTCTAGATCTTCATCTGATATCAAAAGCTGTAAATTTTTCTCTCCAAAGCACCTGCTCCAAGAACCAACTCACCCTCTATATCTCCGTCTCACTGGGACAGGCTAATTCCCCTCCACCCCCACCTTTCTTCTCTGTCACACTGTGTAGGTGTTAAAAGCCTGGGCTCTGACCAAAGAACAGAGCTGTCCTTTAAGACAGCAACCCACAGGCAGTGGCACCCAAAGCTTCACCACCACCCCCTAGTCCCCAGAGCAGCAGCCACAGTGCTGGCATTGTTTCCACTCTCTTAGGAGGAAGGAGCCAAAAGCTGACCCTCAGCACAAATCAGTGCCCAATATGGAGAGAGAATAAGTGCTCCTAGGCCCAGGGCAGGCTACAAGCTGTGGGCAGGAAAAGGGAGTTTTTGCAGCCACTCCCATCTTTAGAAATAAGGTGAACACTACACCCTTTCCACTACTATGGCTCTACAAGGTACCCTACTACTACTGAGCTACAAGGTGATCTACAAGCACAAAAGCATCTAAACAAATATTTTGCCCTGGCTGGAGAGAAAAGTGACAAAAAGGAAGATAGGTCAATGTCATAATTTGTAGGAAGATGATGCTGGGAACTTCAGCTTTTCACATGGCTGCCAGACCTACAGAGGACAGCACAGTAAGAACCAAGACAACCACTCCAGACTGGTATAGCTGGGGAATCTTTAGGCCTTTCCCGAGGTCCCACATCTGTAGAAAAAAAAAAAAAAATTTCATTAATCAGGACCCTAGTCACCCTAAAAGTTTCTTTCTCAGGAAGAAATTCTACCTACCAGAATAGTTACCCCCCTCTTAGCATGATACTAGAGAAGAGGACTTCTAACCCCATGTTCTACCTTCACCCTTCTCAAAACCCACAATATGATAACTTCCACTCACTTCTGTCTTATTTCAATGACAGAAAACCAACTCCTATTGTGTTGTGGTAGGAGGGAGAATATTTTTTAGAATGCTCCAGACCCTATACAGTATACGAAAGCTTCCAGACTGAACAGATAAAACTTTTCCTTATGATAACAAATCTAGATGTTTCCCACAGTACATTCCTCTACACACTCGTTCCTCAGAATGCTAAAAAGCATTATACTGGGGGACAAACATTCTGTGGCCAAATAAATTTGGTAAACATTTAACTGCAGGATTTTTCAAACAATTCACTGAACACACTGTAACTATCCAAAAGTAGGCATAATACATGTGATTCCCCAGATGTGATCAATCACAGAATGTCTGTTTAGAAGAAGCATCTGACCATTAGAGGACCAGAATTTTTTTTTAAATTTTATTTATTTATTTAAAAAATTTTTTTGAGACAAGAGTCTCACTCTATTGCCCTGGCATCATAGCTTATAGCAACCCCAGTCTCTTGGGCTTAAGTAATCTTCCTGCATCAGCCTCCCAAGTAGCTGGGACTACAGGCACCGGCCACAACACATGGCAAGTTTTTCTATTTTTAGTAGAAATGGGGTCTCATTCTTGCTCAGGCTGGTCTGGAACTCCTGAGCTCAAGCAATCCACCAGCCTTGGCCTCCCAGAGTGCTAGGATTACAGGCATGAGCCACTGTGCCTGGCCTCAGAGGACTAGAATTTTAAAAACTACTCTTTGGAACCTAGAACATTTTTCTCCATTTTGTATTAACTGTGACCCCATCAAGAAATCTCTTTTCAGGCTCAGCGCCTGTGGCTCAAGTGGCTAAGGCGCCAGCCATGTACACCCAAGGTGGTGGGTTCGAATCCAGCCTGGGCCTGCCAAACAACAATGACAGCTGCAACCAAAAAATAGCCGGGCGTTGTGGCGGGCGCCTGTGGTCCCAGCTACTTGGGAGGCGGAGGCAGGAGACTCGCTTGAGCCCAGGAGTTGGAGGTTGCTGTGAGCTGAGATGCCACGGCACTCTACCCAGGGGGACAGCTTGAGGCTCCTGTCTCAAAAAAAAAAAAAGAAATCTCTTTTCAATTGAAACCTAGTAGACAAATGTATGCATATATAATATAGTGCTAATTCATGAAACAATAAACAGTATTTACTATTATTAATGTGTATTGCATTTCATATTTTCTATTCCATTTAAATTTTTTTTTATTTGTAGCAATCCACTAAATTGATTTTCTACACATTGGGCCAAAACTCACATCCAAAAAAACACTCATCTAGACTATCTTGTGCCCTAGGAATATTAAATACTATACTCTAAGTTGCTAAAAGAGTCCCTAGGGCAAAAGCAGACTCTTTAGGTTCCACAGTTTCCATACACATGGTTTCCTCACATATACATCTGCCCACAGTGTGAATGTAAACTGACTAAATCACATAAGAGAAAAGGTGGAGAAAGCCCAGAAAAGAAATCAAGATGAGGAGAATCCCTGACCTTAATCCTCAAATAGCTCCTATCTAGGTCAGATTAAGAGTCAAGTAGATTCTACAGGGAGTTATTTTGTTTACATAAGCAGTATTTTACAAAAATACTGAGTCCTACTGGACAGTCAGTAGTGGTAAGAAGGAAATCCTCTTGAAATGCAGTCCCCAACCCGCAGGCTACGGACCAGTACCTGTACCAGTGGCCTGTTAGGAACCTGGCCGGACAGCCAGGGAGTGGTGGGCAAGCAAGCAAAGTTTCATCTGTATTTACAGCCTGCTTGTATAACCTTCAAAGCTCTGCCTCCTGTTATCCAGCGGGCAGCATTAGATTCTCAAAGGAGGACAAACCCTGCTGTAAACTGTGCATATAAGGGATCTAGGCTGCATGCTCCTCACGACAATCTAATGCCTCATGATCTGAGGAAGAAATGTAATGTGCTTGAACCATCCTCAAACCATCCCTTCCCACCCCCCATTTCCAGTCCATGGAAAAATTGTCTTCCATGAAACTGGTTCCCGGTGCCAATAAGGTTGAAGACTACCACTCTAGAATGCCACAATCCCTGTAACTTCCAAGTCTTAACAATCTGTTTCTCCACTCCCCCATCAGACCTTCTGGCAAGTCAACTATCAAGCTCAGAGGCCAAGAACAATGTCACAGAAAACAGATAAAATCATAACCCACATTCAGAACTTGTACTTGCTAAAAGAAAAAATAAAAGCAGATTTAAGGGCATAGTAAAAGCCTTTAGGCTGCTTATCCCTACTTCTCTCAACAAAAAGATCACCATCATAGATAGAAACCAGGGCAGAAAAGCCTAAGTCCTAGGATTTTGTAAAATTTCTTCCCCTTCTCTTCCACCATAGTGAGACAAAGGCAAATATATAGATCAAGTCCCTGCTGGAGCCAGGATATGAACAGAAGATGATCAGATGATTTTCTTTACCGAGATTTTTCTGTGGAATACAAAGTTATCAATGGAAATGCCCTCCCTCTCCATCCCTTCTCCCTCAGGGAAGTGAAAAGTCATTTTATATCAAACTGAACACTGTTCCAAGGAACAGTTGATAGATATATTTAATTTAATAGGTCATTTAAGACCAGGCGCAGTGGCTCACGCCTGTAATCCTAGCACTCTAGGAGGCTGAGGAGGTTGGATAGCTTGAGCTCATAGGTTTGAGACCAGCCTGACCAAAAAGCAAGACCCCATCTCTACTAAAAATAGAAAAACTTGAGGCAAGAGGATCGCTTCAGCCCAAAAGTTGGAGGTTGTTGTGAGCTATGACATCACAGCTCTATACCCAAGGCAACTTGAGACTCTGTTTCCAAAAAAAAAAAGGTCATTTATTCTCTCACTTTTTTGATTCCATTAAACTGTCCATTGGACCAGCCTGAAATCCAGAAAGTGTGTATTTCTAAGGCTCTGATGTGGAAGTTGTAAAAGGTCAAATTAAGGCAAAACCCAACATTTTGACAGTTGGTTCAGGTTTGAAAGTAATGGTAAATCAGAAAGAATGAGTTAAATATAAAATCTCAGAATGCTGGAGAAGAGAATGGTCTCTAACTTGGGGCAGGTTTAATTAAGGTGTAATTCCTTTTTAAAAAGAAGACATCAGTTTCGAACTGACCCTAAAGCCAAATAGTTTCCAGTCTACTAAAAGATTCCTAAACTTGGCTCAGTGTCCGTAGCACAGGTTTAGGTTATGGCGCCAGTCACATACACTGAAGCTGGCAGCTTCAAACCCAGCCTGATAAACAACAATGACAGCTGCTACAAAAAATAGTGAGGCATTGTGGTGGGCACCCGTAGTCCCAGCTACTTGGGAGGCTGAAGCAAGAGAATCGTTTAAGTCCAAGAGTTTGAGGTTGCTGTGAGCTGTGACACCACGGCACAATACTGAGGGTGACATAGTGAGACTATTTCAAAAAAATAGATTCCTAAACCCAACATGAAAGCCTCAGATTCTTGGCATCTACTTTCTTTCCTTCTTTCTTTCTTTTTTTTTTTTTTGAAACAGTCTCATTTTGTTACCCTTGGTAGAGTAATGTGAAATCATAGCTCACGGTAACCTCAAATTCTTGGGCTCGTCGCCTGTGACTCAAGTGGCTAAGGCACCAGCCACATACACCTAAGGTGGCAGGTTCGAATCCAGCCTGGCCCGCCAAACAACAATGATGGCTGCAACCAAAAAAATGGCCAGGCACTATGGCGAGCGCCTGTGGTCCCAGCTGCTTGGGTGGCTGAGGCAGGAGACTCGCTTGAGCCCAAGAGTTGGAGGTTGCTGTGAGCTGTGATCTCACAGCACTCTACCCAGGGGAACAGCTTGAGGCTCTGTCTCAAAAAAAAAA